GTCGTCCGCAGACTTTTTCGCCAAACGCAAGAGACCTGTGCCCGAGAACAAGTCTCCGCCAGGCGAGGTCTCCCCGGGCTGTCCTGCGCCCGGCGCTCCCGCCGCCGTCGGTGCGGCGGAGCAAACTCCGCGTAAGCGGCTGCGGTAAATGAGGTGAGAGGGTGCGCGCGGCGGCGGGCGGGACGGTCCCCGCGGGTCCCCGGCGTCCCGCGCTCACCGTCGCCGTCTCTTTTCTTTGCAGCCTCGCCCCGGAGGAGCCCCGAGGGAGCCCGGCGGGGCTCGGAGACCGGAGGAGCACAGGCCTTGGCTGGGAACATCCATTAGCAGCATCGTGCCGTGGCACCGCGGGGCAGCGTTCGGTTTTGTGTTAAAAAGTTTTAAAAGTGTGCAATGTATTAAGAACGTCCTTTATATCTCAAATGTATTCTAGCACGCCGAGTGCACTGGTCCCAAGGTGAAAAGCTTTAAGAGTCATTTATATAAAGTGTTTAATCTCCGCTGAACCTCAGTGCTAAAGAAAAAACAGAAAAAAGAAAAAAAAAAGAGAAAAAACAGAAAAAGCATGTATATTTGTACAAAAAGTTTAAGAAAGTTATACTAACTTATATTTCTATTTATGCCAAGGCGTGGGTCGCTCTGCCACGCCCTATCTCGGTTATTGGTTGATACCCAACGGTTGATGCCCCCCACACCCACCCACACACAGACACATGTAAATGTATTTTTATAGCGGACTCTGGGGAGGGCCGTTCTCCTGCCTAGCTGCCTACAAAGCCGATTAGCTTGCATCTCTTCTTTGCGCTTTCTCTATCGCTGTTGTCATTATCTGTAAACTTGAAGACAAATTTGTTCTAATGGTTCCTGAGCCGTCTGTACCACTGGCCCGGCCCGCCTCCGCCGGGTTCCTAATAAAGAGGGCGATAAATGCTGCATTCCGCCTCCGGGTTTCTTCCCATGCACCCCCAAAAGTTAGGGGGATGAGTAAATGAACCAAAGGACCAAAGTGGTCACTCCCTGGGGGGGAGACAGGTTTGGGGCGGGACCTGCCAATGAGCTCCGAGTTTGGGCAAGGGGGTGGGCTGCCTCTTGCCACACTGGGGAGTGGGACTCTTGGGCGCCTGCGGGCGCTGTGCCAAGGCAGAATCAACCCCACGCCCAAACCGTAGGCTGCGCTCTGAGATCTATAAGCCTGCCACAAAGGTGGGGCCCCAACCTCGTCCTAAGCAGCCCCCAAACAGAAGACTCCAGGGTCCCCAACTTCGTGGGTCAGGTTCCTCCCCCTCCACTCCGCCTCCCTAACCCCCCCACCCCCCAGCTGCAGCGTGCAGTTCTGAGGCAGTGGGGGAGGGGTGGCGGGGGGATGGGCTTCCAGGAGGCTTGGGCCCCAGTTGTAGGCGCTGAGAAAATTCAAGGCCTCCTCCGCCCCTCTAGCCCCCCACCAGCCTTCTGGTTTCAAAGTGCTCCCTTTCAGTCAGAAAGCAGAGGTTTATTTTTTTATAGCTGACTTATAAACCTCTGAAAATTATGGTTTACAATGGAAACGATGACGTCAAATAGCAAGAACAGGGCGGCGAGCAGTATTTTCGCTGCTGAGCTTGGCCGGGTGAAGCGGAGGACCAGTGGTGTGTTGTTTTAAGTTAACCCTTCCGGGACTGGACACAAGGCTGAAGGCCGCCCCCCTTCCACGTCCCCCACGGGTCAGGGACAAAGGCTGGGTTTAACCTGCGATTTTCAAGATGTGTTTAGACACATGATTTACTTAACCTTCCCCAACTGCCTGAGCGGGCAGGGGAGACGGTACAGCCCAAGACCCCGCAGGGCCTCCCTGAGACCCTCAGTTGTGTAGTCCTGACTTCAGGCCTGGAACTTCTTCTGGGGCTGAGGGAATTCTGAACGACCGGAAAAAGGTGCTTCAGACACTGAGGAGGATCAGGCGACCCTCGCCCTACCTCCACTGTCCCCCTGAGGTGGGCAGGTGAGGTGTGATGTGGGGGAGGGGATACTGGATGTCTAAAGGCTCTGAGGGGGTTCAGGTTGAGCCAAGAGAATAGTTACTGTGAGCAGAAACTGCCTGAGCTGGTGTCTTCAGATTTTCAACACACCTGCGCCTTCTGCCTGCCAGGATCCATGTCAGCTCTGAATTTCATACATAGCTCTGCCCCTGAATACAAGGACCCTGGCTGTGGCCCACCCACTGCCCAACTTGCTGGGGTCATTGCAGATGTGACTTGATCAAGCAGGGCATCCTTCCAGGGAGAGAGGGCTGGGTTTTGAGTCACCAGGCTCCCCATGTGACCCCAGGCAAGCTGTTCTTTTCAACTCTGTGGGCCTCAGTTTCCCCATATGGAATGAGACGTGTCTCATGGAAGTCTGAGCGTTTTCCATTACCCTCTTCTCAGATCTGTTCTGGTGGCCAGTCAGTATTCACACGAGGGCCTTACGGTCAGGGGCCCGGCCCTTTCTTCCTCCTGCTCCTCAGTCCTCACGTGAGCCCATGATGATGATGGTGATGATGATGGTGATGGTGATGATGGTGATGATGATGATGATAACAGTAGCCACAGAGTCCAATGCAGTGCCGGCACTTTCTTGAGCTAGCCATTGGCAGAGTATCTGAAATTCATTCTCAGCTCCATCCTACCAATGGGGGGGTGGGGTGGGGGTGGAGGGGTACTGTGCCAGAGGAGGAAACCAAGGCCCCTAGGTCACATACTGACCTTGGCAGGACGGAGGGACTTTGGATCAGTGCAGCCTGGCTCCTGGGCCCTCATTAGACTCCGGGGTGGCACCCTGCCCTGTGGAGCAGTGGGGGAGTGGTGGTGGTGGTGGTGGGGTTGGAAGCTAGGTCTCCCAGGACTGTATGGGGACCAAGAGTCAGTGCTTGGATCTGGCATGCAGGGAAAGTCTTGTAGTGCTGTGGGTTAATGTGCTGGATTGCAGGGTTAGTTTGAGCCGCGAGGTTGGCAGTTCGAGCTCTCTAGTCGTTCCTCAGAAACCCTATCTTCCCGACGGAGGTGGAGGGTGGGAGCTATGTGCGTAAAACTGGAAAGGGTTGTTCTAGGCTGAGTGGACGGCTGGGCAAAAGTCCTGAGGCCCGGTGTGTTTGCGGACCTGTGGGTCAGTCAGGGTGGGTGCAGGCCTGAGGTGGGCAAGGGATTACGTAATATATCTGGAGGGGGTCCCAGTGGGGCATGCGGTGGGATTGGGTGTGAGGTGCAGGAAAGGAAGCCCGCCCCCCCATGTTTCTGGGCCTTTCTCGAAGCTGAGGGCCTTTTCTCACAGGAGCGAAGAGACAGGTCATAGGTTACAGCCTGGGACACCCTATGGGGCAGGCCTGAGAGATTGACTTGTAATTCAGGCCCCTGCCCCCACCCTGACTTCCACTCTGAGCCAGGGCATGGTGGACACAAGTCAGTTAACTCTCCCCACGGGTCTACCAGTAAGAGTCAGCAGACCCTGATTGGATGGAGGGCAGGGGGGGTCAGGGAAGCAGAGTCGGAGCCAGCCCAGTGCCAGTTTAGGAGGGCTGTGCTCTCCTCACCGGTGAATTGAACAAAACACACACATACAACTCATAGTTTTCAAATGACCAAGACAAGGTGCAATGAAAAATTACTGCAATCGTGGCCTTATCTCTTTGGCAGGATGTTTGACTCAGATAGGAAGGCTGGGGGTTTGGAGCTGTGGCGTTCTCACTCAGTTCCTGGACTGTATTGTTAGGTTGTTGTCGTGTGTTGTGGGGCCGACTCTAACTTACAGAGAGAGACCCTGTAAGACCAAGTAGAACTTCCCCATGAGATTCCAGAGCTGTTTTCTTTACTGGAGCAGATACCCTGGTCTTTCCTTCCGAGGAGTCACTTGTTGTTGTTGTTGTTAAGTGCCGTGGAGTCAGTTCCAACCCATAGCGACCCTGTACAGGGTTTCCAAGGCTGTAAATCTTTACGGGAGCAGAACGCCTCATCTTTCTCCCGCGGAACAGCTGGTAGTTTCG